TCTTAGAGGTTTTCTGTGTCTTTACTAAGCTGGCTTTACTAAGCATTTGCAACATTCTCTGGCCAAATGAGACGAATTTTAGGTTGCCATATCATTTTACTGAATTGAGTTTTGATATCCTGAAATATATTTCATACCTGTATTTTTATTTTCTTGATCATAGAGTATCTTTTATTTTCTTCTTAAAATTCACTGACTCATTTGCTCATGTCTTCTTTAATTGTTTGATAAATTTTATCAATATTCCTTGAACTTCTTCCTTCTACCTCTTGGATTTCTAGGAAGCTCTCATCTGAGAACACCTACATATGAATAATCAGAAGACATGCTGTTTTGGTCCTTCATGTTGTTTTTATTGTTACTAATGCTGGATTTTCTTTCTCTTTATTTTTTTCTCCTTTTTTTTTCTTTTTAAATCTATTTTACATAGCTACATGAATTTATTTTTTTGGCTATGTGTCTGATGGAATAATCTGACTTTTCTTGGGCTGGGCCAGGACAGGAGATATGCAACCTGGCTTAGACCTGGAAGAGCTGCTGGATGAGCTGTTTAATTGAAAAGATATCTCCAAAAGCACAGTTTTTGCGTTAGTCCTGTAATTACAGAGATTGATGAAAGCAAAGATAGGAGGGGAAAGTATCATGCCAAAGTTGGTTTTTGAAGAAAGCAAGTCTGACAGTCACTGATCTGTAGCTAAGCTTGTGGACATGGTAATGACTATAGTTGGCCTGAGTGCAGGGAGGGTTATGAAGTTGATGTGAGTGCAAAGCGAATTGGTAAGCAAGAGACATAATCTTCAAAGATGTCTCAAGAATGAGTGAATTTTGGTCCTTAGTCTTAGAATAGTATTGTATGAGATTGCTTGTTTGTTTACCGGCTTCACAGCAGCTCATCCCAGAAATAACCAAGCAGAAACTGTATCAATTAAATCAGTGCTTGGCCCATTAGCTCTTGCTTATTATTGGCTATCTCTTATATTAATTTAACCCATTTTTATTAATCTGTGCATCACCACGAGGCTGTTTTTTTACTGGGTAAATTTCGAGCATCTGTCTCTGGTGGGGCTACCTGGTTTCTCAATGACTCCACCTTCTTTCTCCCAACTTTCAGGTTAGTTTTCCCTGCCCAGCTAAGTTCTGCTTTCCTATAGACCCAAAGAAGTTTCTTTATTCATTAACTAATAAATGCAATACATATACAGAACTATCTCCCATACCAGATTAGGATTTTGGATTTCCTGATAGTGACTTATGGGAGAGGAAGGATATCTAACCAAAAGTGAAGAAATGACTTACCCAGAAAAGGTGATTTGTAAAAAATGGTGTTTTGGGGTCCAATGTCTATAACTGATCTAATGGGTTTTCAGATGGGGCAGAATGGAAGTAAAGGGGAAAGAAAAAAAAAGCGACTTAGCCAGAAAACTTAGATCTTACTAGCATGTTTCATTTATTTGTTTCAAATGCACTCATATAATATTAAAATCTACTAACTGATATTTTTGTTCTTTATATTTAAAGTATTGAATGGACAATTAATATTGGTACCTATTCAAAATTTATCAGAGTATGATGAAGATGCTTTTTAAAAGCAAAGTTATGCTCTGTTGTGCAGTTGTCACTTTTCAAAGTATTTTTCAAATTTATTTTTCTCTCTTTTCTTCTTGAGGTGGGAGAGGCATCTGTCTATGTGTTACTTTTATTGGTTAATAAAGAAACTGCCTTGGCCCTTTAATAGGACAGACAATTAGGTAGGCGGAGTAAACAGAACAGATTACTGGGAGAAAGAAGCTGAGTCAGGCAGTTGCCATGATTCTCCCACCCAAGACAGACGCAGATTAAGATCTTTCCTGGTAAGCCACCTCGTGGTGCTACACAGATTACTAAATATGGGTTAGAATTAGCCAATAAGAGGCTACAGATAATGGGCCAGGCAGTATTTAAATGAATACAGTTTCCATGTAATTATTTCGGGTAAAGCTAGCCCTGAGGTAGCTGGGCAGGAGGAAGCAGCCCGCAGTTCCTTCTACATCTTTTTTTCCCTTTATTTATATTTTCTTTTATTGCTTCTAAGATAGTTGTCTCTGTAGCTCTTATATGCTGAGCTTACTTTCCATACTTGCCTGGTTGGGTACTTGCAGCTCGCTTTATATGTGATATGATCCTAGCACTGGCATAAAGGTATGCATCACCACTTTTTTCCATTACATTTATAAAGATAGAAATTTTCCTTGTGTTTTCTTACTGAATGAGGTAATAGATAGCTTTCAAAGAAATAGTTTTGATTCTCCAGATGTCTCACTGTTTATGAGAGCACTCTTTAGTAGAAAAAAATAACTGATATTCCATAATGTATTAGAATTACAATATTCAATACCAAAATAGTACATTCACTTCACTAGTGTGTTATCAAGAGGGTAACTTACAAATTGAAGAACAGGTTAAGTACCAAGTAGTGCTCTTTGTAGAAAGGGAGCGCAGTCCAAAACAGTGGTTCAAAACCGGTGGGTTGTAACTCCCAAAATCATCAGAAAAACAAACATTTACATTAGATTCACAACAATATCAAAATTAGAGTTGTGAAGTGGTAACAAAATTTAGTAGTTTTGGGTCACCACAAGAAACTGTATGAAGACTTCAAGAAGGTTGAGAAGTACTGATCTAAGGCAACCAAATACACCAAGTATTTGAGAATCACTGCATCAGAAAAACCAAGATCACTTTGAAGATACAATTTTGCCAATGTTAGTTTCTATTCTCTCAATACTTTGTATATCGTGGCCATGTGTTGTCTTCCCTCTGAAATATTTCAACATGGCATGTGTGAAAGAAATGCTATAAATGAAATTGATTATTTTGTAATATATGAAATGGAAGAAGTTTTATATCTACTATGGAAAATGAATCTTTATCTTGACGTTCTTTTAGAAGAAGTTTTACATTCATTAAATTAGGCTGTGTTTTATCATACTCACATAATAAAGTAACACTATCGTCATGCATTAAGCAATAGAAATCTGTTCTGCAGTATTGTAAGTGAGAAGTCAGAGACTCAGGTTTCTGCCAGGTCAGTTTCATTTGAGACTGAGAAACAGGATGACCTTTTAGGCTGTGGCCCATACTTTTCCTAAGAGTTTGATCCAGGTAGTCCTTCGTTACATGATTGAGTTCCTCTCCCAGGTCTACATCCATATTTTCATTCAGAGTCTGTTGATAATATCTCTCTCATACTCTGGTAAAAGTTTTTTACAAACTGATCCATGTTTTCACTTAGGCTCTTGTTCATGCCATTTCTCATGTTTAAATGGTTTGTCAAAAACCTTGGTCTCCTCATTCATTAGTCGGAGTCTTTACAAAACAGCTTTACAAAACAGGCTTTATAGGATTGTATCTATTTATGAATTTTCCTAGTAAAAAGATAATTGCTGCATTGTCTGTGTTAAATTCATCTGTCACTACTCTATGTTCAAATGAGGTACGTTTTGTAAATTCAAGGTTAGAATATGAGCTAACTATAAACTAAGTTTCTCTGTCCTACCAGCAACTATTCAAATAACCACATAGAAACTAAATATTAATTATAACTGCATGGCTGATGGCCTATATTTTCTCCAGATAGCTCTTATCACTTAAATTACCCCATTTCTACTTATCTATTTGCTTCCCTGAAGCTCATTTGCCCCATCTTTGAAGTTCCCATTTTCCTTCTTCTGTGTCTAGTGTGCAACTTTCCTGACTCCACTCTTCTTCACAGCATTTTCTCTACCCTAAAATTCCTGCCTAACTATTTGTCAGTTAGCTTTTATTAACAATAAAAGCAGCCCATTTTCACAGTGGACAGGAGAATTATTTCATAACATTTGCCTTTTTGGTCTAAATAAAAAGGAAAGTTTTAACGTTAACACAATTATGGGCATATCAAAGCATTCCAAAACAGACCAGAATGGAGTATAACAAATGTTTATTTATTTGGGGATAAACTCATAGTAAGTGTAGCTATTCTCAGCCCTCTTTGGCCTCTGGCAACTGGGAACTGAATCCAGGAGAAAACAGGGCTTCACATGCTTTTCACCTACACTTATACTACCTGAAACCATGCCCAATATGTGACAGTATCTAAAAGGTTATTGGCTGAAGGATTTTATACAAAAGTGCCATGGGACAATGGTCTTTTATCCTGTCACTGGTATTATTTTTATAAAATTCTGATTGGCCTGGAATCAGGCAGGAAGTATAGGTGGGGCAACAAGAACAGGAGAATTCTGGCAAAAGGAAAGAGTCAGTCTTCTGTCGGCACAAAGGAAGCCAGACACAAAACTAGCAAAGATGAGAAGGCCTCACTGACATAAGGTACCAAGCCATGTGACTAACACAGACAAGAATTATAGGCTAACATGAGGTACAAGAGTTAATAAGAAGCCTGAGCTAATAGACCAACCAGTTTAGAGTTAATGTGGACCTCTGTGTGTTTCTTTGGGACTGAACAGCTGTGGGCCCAGGCGGGACTGAAGCCTTAGTCAACAAATGGCATCAATGTGGACAGCTAAATCTGCTTAAAACCTGAGAGTTTGGGAAATAATTCTAGACACAAAGGAAAAGAGTTAAGCATGGCTTTCTGGTAGCATCATTTTATCAGATGGGCTCAGATTGCTAGAGGCAAGCACATGTCATTTAAGAGAGGCTTCCTGATTCAACTCTAGATCCAAAAAAAAAAAAATGTAACTCTTTTAAGAGGTTCTGCAATAAAACACTTAAATTGTGTTAATGAATAGTCAACAGCATGCTATTTGGTGGTGGTGGCAGAAGCCTTGAAACTCCATAGAGTGGTGGCAATAAATATGTCTCTGGTCAGTACCTCCACTATGAGGCTAGACTCTCAGAAAGCTAAGGAATGGGATGTATCTGGCTGTCAAAGGCATGGTTTTAAGTCTGGCCATACTGCTTAGCAAAGTAAAAACTCACGTGATCAGTAAAAGAGAGATATACAGTAAAAATAAATTCAGGTGAAGAAAAAATCTATATTTGGGCGCCCTCGGGCAGAGCAGTCACGTCGCACAAACAGATTTACTATTAGGACAAATAAGACGATGAGGAGTTCGAGTACCGGCATGTCATGTTGCCCAAAGACATAGCCAAGTTGGTCCCTAAAACCCATTTGATGTCTGAATCTGAATGGAGAAATCTTCGTCTTCAGCAGAGTCAAGGATGGGTCCATTATATGATCCATGAACCAGAACCTCACATCTTACTGTTCTGGTGGCCACTACCCAAGAAGCCAAAGAAATGAAGCTGGTGAGCCACCTTTCAGCCATGAGCATTACACAGCTGTCTTTGCTTCCTACTGTCTCTCTAATGGAGTGATTATCTTGTTTTCTTATTTCTCTCTTTGATATTTAAAGGATGTTCAATATACTGAAGTGCTGGGACCTGCTTTACTTCTTAAGTTGAGCCACCAATGCCACAACTCTGTCCAATGAGTGACTTCAAAGCCCTAGAGCGCTCTGTATCCAGTGGGCCATATTTGCCGTCTCTTAAAAGCATGTGAAGTCAGATCATGGCTGTTATAGGGACCGTGTGAATTTGCTGTTGTAGTTTTTATTTTCGGGTGCTGTATTTATGGTGACTTATCGGCTTATATTTCAGTGTGTTGGAAACTTTACATTTTATCTGACAAATCTCTTCCATGTTATAAGCCTCTATTAAAGAAAGTTTTTATAATTTAAAATACATATATATATGTGTATATATATATATATATATATATATATATATATAGGCTTGGGAGAGAAAGGAAAAAAGGATAAAGTCATTAAAATAAAAAAATAAAAAGAATAGTTGGGAGTGGTAGCACATACCTTTAATCCCAATACTTGGGAGGCAGAGGCAGGCTGATCTCTGTGAGTTCAAGAACTACCTGGTATACAGAATTAATGCCAGGACAGCCAAAGATACACAGAAAAAGTTAGTCTTATAAAAAACAAAAGTTAAAAATAAAAATAAAAGAAATAGAGTTTAAAATAAAGCCATGTAAAAATGAAAAACATGAGAGTCTGATTACTGATTATTATGTGTTTTCTTTAAATTGCTTGATAGCTGAGGAAGACGCAACAGCTGCTAAAAAAAACATTTGATTATAAATGCTGCTGGATTAATGAATGATAGGCATATTGAAAATGCCTTGACTTCAAATTTAAGTCAAAAGATAGGCTACTTTGGAAAAGAGGTTTTGCTTTTGTTTCCACAAGAAATGAGAGGCTGTGGATTCCTTCTGGGCTAAGAAAAATCAGGTTTGATCAAGGAACTACCCCTTTGATATCTTCAATAGATGAATTGATGGCCCAAATGGCTGAGCTCTACATGCAGACCATCCTCGAGACTGCTGACTGAGATGACCAAGCTTCATAGAATATTCCAGTCAGGATTTGACCATAATTCAAAAAAATTTTTTAGGTCCCTGTAAGATTATCAGCACCCCTGATCAGCAGAAAGTAGACTAGAAAACTATACCCACATCCCCAAATGATGGATTATGAATATTTATCATTGTTTAGAGTATTGGTTATAAGATGTTATAGATAATCATCTGGACAAAATCTAAACAAAGGATATTAGATTCAGAGTGTTTGTTTTGAACAAAAAAAAAAGAGGGAAGAGCTGTGGGACAATAGTATTGCTATCCTGTCCCATTTATAATTTCAATAAAACACAGATTGACTTGTAGCAGGCAGGAAGTATAGGCAGGGTGACCAGACAGTAATTAGAGGTGGGGTGAGGAGAACAGGAGAATTCTGGGAAGAGGAAACAGTCAGTCTATAGTCAACACAGAGGAAGCTAGGCACAGAGCAAGCAACATGAGAAGGCCTCACTGATAAAAGGCACCAAGCCATGTGACTAACACAGACAAGAATGATGGGCTAATAATATAAGAATTTATAAGAAGCCTGAGCTAATAAACCAACTAGTTTATGATTAATATAGACCTCTATGTGTTACTTTGGGACTGAATGGTTGCAGTACCAGGAGGGACAGAAACCTCTGTCAACTCAACACATCCCCCTTGTGTCTAAATTAAAGGGTTCTAAGCCTAATACAAAACTATATAGAATAAAAATAAATATCAAGTATTGTCCATGGAAAAGAAGGAACCAAAACATACATAAAAATTAGAATTACAACCAGCATGAACAATATGAAGCAAAAAACACATGCTGAATATGCCAATAGTTAGCCTAGCCTAAGAAGTCTAAGTCTTATATTAAAAATGTCTTGATTAGATCATGAGAGGAAAGTAACTATGACTATCTAGACTTCAACCCCATCAGAAACCTGAGAATGAAAATAATATTACCTGAGTAAACAGGAACTACATTTAAGCAACTTCCATAATGTGCTAGAATAGACAGAGACAACCAGCTACCTGGGTAATCACCCAAAGTCTCATTTGCGATGTTGGAGCAACCAACTTTGGCTAAGGCCTGAGTATCTGACTGATCATTTTCATAGGCAGGAAAATGTTCAGAACTGCCTTACCTTGTCCTAGCAAAGTGTGGCTGTTATCTTGCTTGTATCCTGCTTCTCCAATTGTGACACCATGCAAGGCAGCTCTTTGCCCAAAGTCCAATATTTCTAAGAAAACAAGCTCCAAGTGGGGTGTCTTTGGTGCTCATCATTCTCCCTGGAATAGATCAGTACTGCCAGGAGCAATCGTGTCTCACCTAAATAAAATCCTGCATTATTTAAGTGCCATGTTCTTCAATTCCATGAAGTGTTTGAAGATTATCTATCTATTTTGAATATAATTTCTATGCATCTAAAGAACCTGACAAGTATGACAAAAAAGAATGACTATTGACCTTCAATTTTCAATACATATATACATTAACGACTGAGGCTTCTCATTAAAAAATTAAAAAAAAAATCTTTAAATAAATGTGCAGCAATTGGGGACAATGACCTCAAAATGTAAACAATTTATATAACTATCTTCAAAGGAAGTAGAAATGTGTTGTGTAATATGACAAATATTTCCTAAATTTACATCAATTTTTAAAACTTCTTAAGCAAAGGTAGAAACATGCATGCACACAACAAGACAAAATAACTTTGTATAGGTGCATACATATTGTAAAGAGAAATTAGAACATATTCAATATAACAAATACAATTTAATTTTATGTCATTATACAAGGATCTATACCAATGTAAATTATCTATAACTAATAGTTCATAAGTAGATATCCTAGTCTACATATTATCCCATCCATTCACCTCTTGTTTTTTTTTTTTTCAAGACAGGGTTTCTCTGTGGCTTTGGAGCCTCTCCTGGAACTAGCTCTGTAGACCAGGCTGGTCTCGAACTCACAGAGATCCGCCTACCTCTGCCTCCCGAGTGCTGGGATTAAAGGCATGCGCCACCACCGCCCGGCTCACCTCTTGTTTTTAAAAGAGATCCCTGAGCCTACTTCATTTTTCCTTCCAACCCTGTACCACTTATAACAAACCCCTAATAGGTGACAATTGTCCTAACCCTGAGGACAAACATCGTTGGGAGAGGGAACATTGTTTTCTAAAATTACTTTGAGTTATCATAAGGTTGATGTTATTTTTATGAGATTTTTAAAAACTAAAATTAAGGCTAACTTCAAGGTTACTGTCTGCTACAACTGTAAATAATCTCTGAGTAGTCAGTAAGTTTTTTCTGAAAATTTTATTTGAAATTTTCACCAGAGTATTGTGATAAGGTGTACCATCTCAGCTGGCCAAGGTGAAATCATCTTGAGCAGTTTGTAGTCCAAAAACAGTCTTATAGTGGTGTTATCAGAATAATGGCATCATATCAAACAGGTTGAATCATTATTGTTGGGCACCATTTTTCCTGGAGACTTCATAGATTACTGTATGAAAATTAATTTTTATTGTGGAAACTTAAATATTATTTACATCAAAATTGAACTTTTGAATTTCTGTAGGCATGTATTTAAGAAAAGGTAGCATAGAGAAAAATATATAAGAAGAAGTAAAATTATTGAAAGCAGAATTTCAATAATCTTTGTACTTAGATTTTATCTTTCTTTATCCCATACCAGGTGGCTCCTAATATGCTACCAGCATTCTGAATTTTTCTCTAAACAGCATGCTTGGATTTAGAGAAAGAGAGCCACCTTGCTTCTCCAGAGCCACCTTTGTTTTTTAGGTGATTCATGATCAGCATTACATGTATTTTTAGATAATGAGATTTTACCATGCAGAGGAGAGTGGTATCATAAGCCAGATTTCTATTTGCTTCGTAATACTTTTTGAATAGCTTTCTTTTCTTCTTTAGGCATATAGATGTTCAAGGTCTCTTGAATTTTTGGAGATGTGTATTTTTCTGCAAACTCAAGAACGGAACCCTGCTCCAATCCTTATGATGTTTCCTAATGACCTGTAGGAATGTCTCCTCTGTGAATGTGCTGTCACACTGGGAATTGAATCCAGCTGAAAAGAGGGCCCACACAAGCTTTTCATCTGCACTTATAGTACCTGAGACCATACCAAAAATGGACCAGTATCCAAAAAGACTATTGGCTGAAAGACTTCCTGCAATACATAATGAAACTATATGCAAAATAGTTATAAATTAATAATTTTAGTTAAAATAGCCAGTTCATTTATATTTGGCAAAATGGAGAAAACAATCCATCAGCTGTCCTCTACTGAAGAGTCCAAAGTTATGAATCTAATTTACTTTCTACTATATTTAGGGAGAATTGCAACTATAACTATCTAGTCTTCAATACCATCAAAGACCTGAGTAAGATATAATATTACATCAGTAAATAGGAACTGCAGAGGAAGTAGCTTCTAAAATAGAGGACAGAAACAGCTAGCTGCCTGAACAGTCATCCTAGGATTTCTGTAACACTGGGGCATCTAACTTTGTTCTACATGCCTAGTAATCTGACAGACATTGGGAAAAGCTGGAGGTTTTTAAAAACTCTTTTACTTTGTCTTGATAATTTTGGCAGTTGCCTTTTTGCATGCCCTGCATGTTCAGTTTGGAGAGTAAATTGTTAGCAATTGTGAAAAGGGAAATTTATTTGACCAAGTCGCTAGTTTTTCCCATAAAGAAAATCAACTACATAAGGAGTCACTTTGATGCATATTATCCTCTTTGAAGTATATTGGTATTGCCAGGAGCTGACATTTCTCATTGTCACTAAAAGCCTTACATTATTAAACATATTAAGTGTCATATTCTGTAGGTCTTCAATGTGTTTTAAAATTATCTATCTATTTAAACATACC